CGATCCTAACAAACCATACATCAGTGGAAAGCTTATATGTGACCCTGGACCACAAAACCAGTCATAAGTAGCACAATACATTGTATGGGTCAAAATTATTTATTTTTCTTTTATGCCAAAAATCATTAGGATATTAAGTAAAGATCATGTTCCATGAAGATATTTTGTACATTTCCTACCGTAAATATATAAAAACTTAATTTTTGATTAGTAATATGCATTGCTAAGAACTTCATTTGGACAACTTTAAAGACGAGATTCCAGATTTTCAAATAGTTGCATCTCGGCCAAATATTGTCCGATCCTAACAAACCATACATTATTGGAACGCTTATTTATTCAGCTTTCATATGATGAATTTCAAAAAATTGACCCTTATGCCTGGTTTTGTGGTCCAGGGTCACACATAGGCCAGAAAGAGACTAATAACTACTTCTTATCCTTTTAATTACGCAAATGTTTAGTTAAAAATGTCTACAAATTGAAGAAACTTATCCGAGATCAGGTAAAAACCATAGATGCTGTTTTCCCAATGGAAAACCATTGAAATGTCAAAACATTTTGAAACAGTTATGACGTAATGAAGCCTCATTTACTGAAATCACGTGACTTTGGCAGTTTGATACGCGGTCCGAACCACTAGCCGAACTTTCCATCCAAAGTTGCAAATTTAACTTGTGCGCAAAATTGGAATATCGCATAAAACATTTACGAACAAGCACCGTTTACATCCAACGAGTCAAAGAGAACAAAATCGTCATTTCCTGATAAACTGCCACAATAAATCACTAAGAAAAGCAGGAGAAGCTACTGAATATAATAATTTTCGTATATAATAAATCACTTGCGGCTCAGAGCGAGCAGATGAAACACAATAAATGCGGTCAATGCTTTCGGAGGTGGATGCTGCTGTTTGGGAACGCAGTCGTGTAAGACGATTATACAGAAATACTTTGACGACAGACTTTGCTCAGGCATTTCAGAACGACCAAAACAACATATAGATGCTGTGAACGAGATCGGAGCGCTGCTAGTCAAGTTATCCCGTCTCATAGCGCAAAGTCACATGAC